CACCCCACCATACCCCCAAACACACCCACACCCTCCCACATACACTGTCCATCCCCCAGCCCTCCAAACACCCCATCTTGCAAGCTGCTCCCTGTCCCACTTTTATCAGTGTTTGTTTATGGTGAGATCTGAGTAAGTAAGTCAGTGGGGGAAGGGGTGGGAGGGATGGGAGAGTGGATTCACCGGGGGGATTGTCTGTCTGGGGATGAGGGGGTTGGGGTCAACTCCCCACGCTCTCTTATGGACCCTGTGAGACCTGTTAATCCCTGCTGTCCACCCCAAGGTGCCCGTGCAGTCGCTGCCAGCTCGGAGCTGATGTTAGAGCTGTGGAGCCCGGCACAGCTGTTTGCAGCCTGCCCACTGCTTGCAGTGCTAAGCAAAATGGCCTCATGTGCCACGCTCAGCACGTGTGCCAGGGGTTGCCGACCCCTGATCTGCAATATTTATTAATTTTGATTTAAAATATTTTTGTCCTGATTTACATGCATTTGTGTAGTGTACATAGAGGTGATTGCACAATAGCTTAAAATGAAGTGTTACTTTTGTATATTGAGGGTTACGGGGAATAAGGGAGTGGGTATAGGTTTGTGTAGGGGGCTGTGGGTATGTGGGGGAGGGTGGGTGTGTCTAGCAGGCTTGTGGGGGCAGTGGGTAGGTATGGGGTGAGGAAGCGTGTGGCTGGGTATGGGGTTTGTGGGGAGTTCTGTGTGGGGGAAGGTGGCTGGATGTGGGTATGGGGCTCCGCATGTATGGCAGTGCAAGGGGGGGTGTGGGTGCATGTGTATAGTGGGATGTACATGTGGGACTTGCCCTACAAACTCTCTCTCTATCTCTCTCACACTTACACTCACACCCCTCCTGCTCCTGGCTCTGGGGTACCAGCATGGGGTTCCACTGTCCAGTGATGCAGCTGGTGGGCAGGAAAGCTTGGAAATGGTAGCTGCAGGGAGGGGGGAGTGGCAGTGAGTGGGTGCATTGGAGCACAATAACAGCTAGGCGGGAGCATGGGGCCCAGGGCGGGGCATCTGGAAGATGGCGCAGGCTGGCAGGGGCTCTATGGAGCTGGGCCAACTCCCCCTTCTCCCTGCTGTTACAGCCCGGCTTGGTTCCATAGAGCACCTGCCAGCCTGCTCTGGGCCCCTGTTGGCCCTGTTGCTTTCACCACTCCCTGCCTGCTGCAGTGCTCTGGCACCACATGGTTCCTGACTGCATGGCCACGACCACAAGACGCAGCAGGAGATGGCCTGGCTCGACCCCAAGGATTGTGGCAATTCTGTGGTCCTCTCCCCACCGCCACACTTTTATCTGAGTTTCCCTTTCTGGTGGAGGGAGGTGGGGGAACAGCCCCAGGGTCCCAGGCCAGAAGCCTTCTGCTAGGCAGAAGCTTCTGGGTGTGTGTGTGGGGGGGGGGGGGGTCTTTGCTGCAGGGTCCTGCCACCAGCTTCTCCTGGGTCCTACTTCCCCTGGCTCCTGTCATCTTTGACAGGCAGCCAGGAGCAGATAAATACTAATTGTCTAAAGTTTTTAGGGGCCCCACAAGTCAGATAGAATGACATGGCAGGGTGGATCTGGTGTGTGGGCTGTATTTTACCCACCCTTGATCTAACCACCTCCTGACCTCCCTAAATGTCTGTACACAGCCCATTTTTATCACTAACAAATCTTATACATAGAACTTAAAATTTGATTTGGAGTTAGTTTACAAAAGGCAACTCTTTTATAGTTCTGTTTTGCCAAATGGGTCCATTTATTTTATTAGCCAATCACCAGAAAATGTAGCTTTTGTCATATAAAAGAAGCTGTTTTTGATTATTTCTGTAACTTTTATGCCTTAACTTGGATCATCCAGTGACTTTTTTTTTCCTTTTAAATTACTATTTATTAAGTACTATCCTACCTATATTTCATAGTTTCATAGTTACTAGGGTCGGAAGGGACCTGAGTAGATCATCTAGTCCGACCCCTAATGTTGATGAGCTACAAGTCTTCACACATGAAGACCTAATTTCACTCCATCTGGTCAACTTTCCCAATCTACAAGAGACTTTCTGTAGACTTGAACTGGAAGCTATCACTGAGATGCAATGAAGCCAAACTGCAAAAAGTGTTTTAAATTGGCAGTGGTTTAAGGTTCAGTTTATATTTGTTAATGACTATGTGTGTTTAGTTTTCTGTCTGAAGCTTTCTAAAGCATTTGCAGGTACTATTGCTTTAACTGAGTTATTCTACTTTAAAATATTTTTTGCTGACAATGTGCTAAAGTGAATTTTCTAACCAGTGTAGGCAGGACCTGACCCTATCTATTAATGCATTTTACTTGATTCGTATGGCATCTTTGAAAGTAAAGGCTTACTTAAAAAGATGATCAAATATTAGATGCTGATATATTATTTTTTATATTGTAGAGGCGACCTCCAGATAATTCATTTTATGTAAGAACATGTAACAAGAATCCAAAGAAAACAAAATGGTGGTATCATGGTAAGTATTTCACTTAGAGCAGGAGCTACGGACAACTTTCAGGATGAGTACAAATGATATGTAACAAAATTTAAAGGAGTCCATGATTTTAAACACTTAATGAATTTGGAACTTAAAAATTCTCCTGTAACATGGAATATAAGTATTCTAAAGGAGCATGAGTGAATAAAATTTATTAGGGAAAAAAAGATGTGGTCCACCAGGAGATTAAACAGTTGTTACGGCTTAGAAAAATCTCTTACAATAATCTATTGTGATACCTACCATTGCAAATTTTTATAAGCAATATATTTAGCTGTTTGTTCAGATTAAAAGAAAGTGTAAGAAACACACAAAAGAAAAAGGTATTATTGTCCTTTGAAGTTTCGGAACAATTTCATGTAAAATTTGGTGAGCTATAGCAGTTCTTGATGAGTGTAAACTCTGAGGGAGAAATAGGTTGCTGAAATAAACTTACTACAGCAAGCTAGCTTAATACAGAACTGATCTGTTAAATACAACAGATGTTTTATTGATAAAACACATCTAATACCTCTGTTCTCTAATTTTAAAATGAGGAGTTCTGGATCAGGGGTTGGCAACATTTTGCCACCACAGGCTGTTCTCTGCTATCCAGTCCCCTCTGGGGGTCTCCTCTCCCCAGCAATCAGCACACTTTGTGGAGGAAATAGATAAATGCAGGTGCTACGACCCTACAGATAACTCCTCTGTTGCTGTGGTTGCAGTGTGCTGCTAGATTTAGTTTGTTCATGGGCTGGATCCAGTCTGTGGGCTGTAGATGATTTTTCTTCCTTGGCAATGGAAATGTTGCTGTATATCCTGAGTAAGTGCACGAAGTGTGGAGTAGCTGACTCCCAAACTAAAGTGTCTTTGGTTCAAAATACTTTTTGGTTAAAAAATATTTTACTATATAGTTGACTTTAGATATTAATTTAGTCCTAGTAAGAACGTATCAGATAGATGCTAAGAGAGATTTAGGTCACTTTAATCTGTTAATCACTTGGAATGTACATTACCTTATTTTCACTTCCAAAATTTTAACTTAAGTAGAGCAAGTCCTGTTATGCGCAAGCTTATATGATGGCTTAAAACTTTTTGAGTAATTGTTTCCTCTTTCTTTTCTATACTTCAACTTCTGTAACATGTTTGCAATCCTTCTTTGATTTTGATTCTAGGTTGGTTTTTTGTTCATTTTGGTTTTTTTTAATCCTCCTTTGGCTACTTCTGAAGAATGTTTTTCTTGACTGAGTTTCTTGTCTTATTTCCTCTTGATAGTAATCTTCAAAGAAGACTTTTCATTTTTGAATGGCAACCACTTTTGTGCTCTCATTGGCTGTAATATCAATCCTGATTGGTTGTGGAATAAATAAAATACTTTTCTGTATGATTTAGCCCTGAAGTCTGTATACAGTAGCAAGTTTCTGGTGCTATTCTAGTTTTCTTCAAAGTAGGAAATTCAGGGAAGGATGAAAATGTAAATAGGAAATTAAATGTGATTATCTGAGTATAGAAGAATGACTAACATTTTGTATGATTACCAGGAATATTCTAAATATAAAAATCAATGTGGTCATCAGTTTCTGGAAGTTGGTGGCTGATATTTGTATCATAGTTAAAAAGGTTCTACTTCCATTCAGGTAGTCACTGGACACTTTTTTTTACAGTATGGATCATTTACCAAACCACTGCTTTCTGATTGAAAGCAAAATTGTACAAAAGAATACTAGTATAAAATCAGATAAGTATAGGTTAAGATAGATTACAGATGAGAGGGCAAATCATTATGTTCTCAGTGGTCCTTTACTGTCTTTCCCCCTGAAGACCTGCTGGATAGCAGAAATTGAGACCTATTTTGAGAACTGATTTTTTTCTGCTTCCTGCAGAAGAGCTGTCCTCAACCTTATATTCTTTGTTAGGTTGTTACAGCCTGCTGTTTTGAAGAGAGGGGCATATTCTTCCCATATTCTTGTTGGAGGGGCAGAAACATTTTTCCTCTTTTCCAGAAAGGGGGTGAAGGTGGCTCTCTGAAAGCCAGTAAGGAGTTCAGTGAGAAGTGAAAAGCATGTCAGGGCTAATAATCCAGTAAAGCTATTAGACTGACAGGTAGGCATTATGGCCATCTTTTAAATCTGCCCTTCCCCTATCTCAGCCCTCGAAGTTTGTTCTAAATACCAAGGGGAAAAAAATTCAATAATAGTAGGGTCAAAGTGGCATTGTAGCTGTGATGGCCCACAAAATATACTAAAAGCAATAGAGTTGGTTGAATAAAAGCTGTTACCAAGCTTGCCTTGCTTCTAAAAACATCACTGTCATGAAAGACTTGATCCTTTCCCCTGATCTTGTCCCTATTAAACAGGAAATGGGTATTTGTTCTCAAACAATACCGCTGCTGGTTTTCCTAGAAGTACTTTACCTGTGACTGTCTGTAGATGGCTTAGATGTTCACCCTTCTCCTCTTACGTCCATCTAACCGGTCTTGGTGATGATGCATTCTAGTTCTCCTTTTTGATACGAGTTCTCCTAACCATATAGTCGTATGCAGGACATAACACTTTGCAAACAGGCTGGAGCAGAGAGAGATTAGCATGGGGTGCATTTAATTTAAAATACCAACTTCTAAATTTAGGAAAAAAAGATAAATATTGATAAAGTTGGCTCTTGTTTTTTCTGTTGCCAGATGCTAGAGTGATAGGTGCATTAGAAATAACCAGTGAACCAACTATATTCTGATCAATTTATTTTTTGTTGCAGGACACATGTTTTTAGTTAAATTGCAGTGAAGTGCTGCTGCAGGTTTTGAGGTGATTAGTGATTTGGCTACAGGCTGACATTGAATATGAATGACTTCACTGTAGGATGATATCTGAAAGCTAGTTTATAACTGAGAGAAGTTTTTCAGGAAAAAATATTTGTAGTAGCATGGGGAAATTGTCAGGAAAACGTACAAAATCTGAAAAAGAAATTGGCCTTTGCTTTGAGTGTTTTTACAGTGTCCTTTAGATTACCAGGCAACTGCTAAATCTCATCTAAAAATGCTCCAATTGTTTTTAACGTAAGTCCACTTTCATGCATGTATCTACATAGGCTCTGGTATGTAAAGTGAATGGTTTTTGACTGATTTTTGGCATATTGGGAACCAAGACACTAGTCTGAAGGCTAGTTTGCTCCCATTAACTCATTATGCAAAACAGCTATAAAAATAATCTGCTATGAACAGGAAAATAAAATTAAAGGTTCAATGTATGTATAGATTTGATGCGAGTTTGCTTTCAGATGAAAGATCTTGGCATTACAATGTCAGCCTATTCTTTGTCTTGTATTTTGGCAGTTACAGTTTTTGTTGGCTATCCTTGAGAGCAGTAAAAAGC